CAGCCGGGGTGAGAGCCGGCTGCCTCTCGGCCTCCTCGAGCAAAGGATCCCCGGCGTGCGAGGACGCAGCCCTGCTGGAGGAACCTAGGCTTTTCCGGGCCCGCGGCTGTGGGGCCAGAGGGCCCGGCGCCTCGCTGCCCTTCGCTGCTTAACCCGTTGTGTGTGACCTGCGTGGCGCTGGTCCTGGGATGTGGCCAGTTAATGTAAGCAAAGCGGATCACAAGATGAGGCCGGTCGGCACATCCCCTCTCTGAGCTGCTCCCTTGCCGCCAGGGCCCTCGAACGTGTGAAGTCTGTCCCCTTCCCCAGCGCAGCACATACGTTGATACTCGGAGCTCATTCCCTTTCCTTTTCAGTGCTTCCATTGTCACGGCCCCTGAATAGGCCCAGGCAAAGCTTCCCTCTCTGTTACTTCTAGGCATTTGTTCTTGCAAGATTCTTTCAACGGGCACCATCTTCCTGATGCGGCCACTGAGTCTGGTTGGTCTAAGTCAGGGGGACGGGTGGGAGCGTGGGTAAACCCCAGCCCCACAGCTTCATACCCTCGTAGTGCTTTGCTGCGTGGAGAAAGCCCGGTCTCGCTGAGATAACTGGGGTTGAACAGCCTTCAAGTTTTGTGAGACATATGAAGGCTTCTAGCAGGCTCAAGAGCAAGAGACGGTATAGTCCTCAGCCGTGTTCGTATCTTACTCTAAGCTGATTGTGACCTCCTTCATTTAGGCATCCGGTGGATTAAATAACAGTTGTTAAAAAAAAAAAAAAAAAAGCTGCAGCAGGGGTGGAATCAGCAGTGTGTGCTTTGGACGAAAAGGAATTTGTGAACTTTTTTTGTATAATGCGTAAAGGTAGTCTAAGACAAAACTTGAAAAATTTTTCGTTAGTTTTCCATGTTGGTGGGAAAACAGAACAGGACCTGAAATACATTCCAATGAAGAGAAATGCTTGGACTTTCTGGATTTATCTTTTTCTTTTGCTGTTTCATTTTTTGTTTTAATTTTTGCTTGCAGTGTTAGGAAACATTAATGAACAGGTGCCTTAAAAGTAGTATGTTTTGCCGATTTAAGCTGCAGCTCAAGAAACAGCCATGATTTTAATCGTGTGAAACTGCGGAAAGCTGCAAACATGAAAAGCATGCGAGGGGAGGGCAGAGGAGCAGCAGCAGTGGAGGCAGAGACTGTCTGTGGGTCAGCAGCCTTTCAGTTACAACACCTGGCAAACACTGGTGTTTCTCAGGCTATAGGATCCCAGCTCCTCTGAAAGCTCGCACTGTGACAGAACTGGGTTCCAGATGTTAAAGCTTTTCTACATCACAGGTTCAGATGGTTGGGCAAATTCCCAGCTGTGGATCAGCAGTTGATAAAGCCTGGGAGGCTGAAAGGCTTGATGTATACTCGGATGGGCACTTTCCATTCAGAATAGAAAAGGACAGACATTGATACTACAACTAACAAACCCCACTGTTCTGCGAGCTTTCTTTTGTATCTTGTCATGGTTTCTGCTAGATTTCTCTCTAGCAGAGTGTGAATTTCGGAGTGTTTATTCAGCATGGGCTAAGTAAAAACACGTGAATGCTTTGTGCCTTGACTTCCATCTTTGCCACTGCTTGAACTGAAGCAGGTTTCAATCTCAGGGTAGTAATAAAGCACTCCTTCAAAAACCCACAGTTAATATTGCCCTTATTCACTGGAACAATTAAAAAGACCCAACTGGCTGATAAATTTTTAGTGAGAGTGGAATTGGTAACTTTGCAGTCTCACTTGTGTGACTTGAAGCAATCTCAGGGAGATGATTTTTAAGTGCCTTGCATGGTGGTAAAGTTACACAGATGGGCTCACATGTGCTGGCTGATTTGTATGAAGCACTACAAGGATATAATCTGCATCAAGACTTGCACTTTCAGATAAGGGTGCAGGAGATGGGGTAATAGATAGGCAGTGTCTTAGCTGGGACAAAAGTTGCACTGAGTTCTTGTCTGGCTGGGGTCAGGCTTTTCCCCCTTTGTGCACAGATGGTGATAACAGTAGCAGGTTCATTCAGTGGGATCTTCGAAGTGGGATGAATATATGGAGGGGGAGTGGAGGAGTGGATGACAGTATGACTCTTCCCAGCGTAGTTACAGTCAGCACAGACCTGATCCACCCATCAGAGGAGACAGATCATGGCAGGCAAAGCATAAACTATATTAGTTTTTCACTTATACAGGTAATATACAGTCTGTAGTTAGAGCACCAGTAACCTCTCTTTGCAATGTGAAGACACATGGGAGTATTTTACCAAAACTTGGGGACAATGTTGTTTTATTTTATAAAATGCTGTAACGCTCAGAATTTGCATGTTACCAGGAGGCTTAATGTGCAGGATGCCCACACCCAGAGAACTGGGCAGCATTTTAAGTTTCTGACTTGTGGAGTGTGGGGGTGAGATCTCCCTCCATCTTGCAGCCTTTTATCTGTGGAGATAGAGGCAGCACAAATTTGCCCCAGTGTTACGTTAATTTTGGTGGGATAAGTAGACACCAAAGTTATGTTAAGATGATCATTGCTGTATAACCATGACTGGGTTAAACTGCTTGCAGGATCAAGCATAGAAACCTCAAGCCACATACTCCTGTGCTTCCTTATGCTTAGGGCTGAAGAACGTAGAGGCTCCGATGGTCTAATTCTGCTGCTGACAAATATAGCTTCCGCAGCAGAGCAAGAGTTGGTGTCATTGCGTGGACTTCAGCAG